ACGGGGTTTCACCGTGTTGACCAGGATGGTCTCGATCTCTTGACCTCGTGATCCACCCGCCTCAGCCTCCCAAAGTGCTGGGATTACAGGCGTGAGCCACCGCGCCCGGCTAAGACTGTTTTTATTTTTATTTTATTTTATTTTTTTTTTTGGAGACGGAGTTTCGCTCTTGTTACCCAGGCTGGAGTGCAATGGCACGATCTCGGCTCACCGCAACCCCCGCCTCCTGGGTTCAAGCAATTCTCCTGCCTCAGCCTCCTGAGTAGCTGGGACTACAGGCACGCGCCACCATGCCCAGCTAATTTTTTTGTAGTTTTAGTAGAGACGGGGTTTCACCATGTTGACCAGGATGGTCTCGATCTTTTGACCTCGTGATCCACCCGCCTCGGCCTCCCAGAGTGCTGGGATTACAGGCTTGAGCCACCGCGCCCGGCCAAGACTGTTTTTAAAAAATAGGCCAGGTGCAGTGGCTGACGCCTGTAATCCCAGCACTTTGGGAGGCCAAGGCAGGTAAATCACCTGAGGTCAGGAGTTTGAGGCCAGCCTGGCCAACTTGGTGAAACCCCAGCTCTACTAAAAATACAAGAATTAGCTGGGCTTGGTGGCACATGCCTGTAATTCCACCTGCTCTGAAGGCGGACACTCGAGTATCGCTTGAACCTGGGAGGCGGAGGTTGTAGTGAGCTGAGATTGCGCCACTGCATTCCAGCCTGGGCAACAGAGGGAGACTATCTCAATAATAATAAAATAAAATAAAAAGTACCCCCTCAGAGAGTTGTGTGAGAATATGTCAAGTAGGAGCACCTTAATAATGAACAGCTGTGGGGTAGAGATTACTACTCAGGGAAGACTCCAGAAAGACTTGGTTGTCTTTGGGAGGGCGAACAGATAGAAGGCTGTGTGAGCCGGCCGGAGCCTCAGCTGTCCCAACAGGAAATCAGCAGGCACCGTCCGAACCAGACTCATCAAGAAATAGCAGCATAAGCAAGTTGTTTAGAAATGTGGAGGCCAGTGCCAGAGAAAACAGCTACAACTTGAAAGTGGCTGCCCTGGAGGGGTGGAGAGGCTTGGAGAAGGGTGTGTGCATCTGTGTTTATGTTTTCAGAACCATGTACATGTCATACTGTGATTAAAAATAACATAAACCCCCCACTGCTAAATTTGACTGGCTTTTAAAAAAAAATAATGTACATTTCTAAAAACTTAAACATGGGCCCTTTGGAAAGTATTTAATCCGCCTTCTCTGAGTTGGCAGGTTTCTAGGAAGGAACCAGTAGCCTTCTTTTTTTTTGTTAGTGGTTTGGTTGGGGTTTTTGGGATAGAGTCTCGTACTGTTGCCCGGGCTGGCGTGTAGTGGCACAGTTAGGACAATTATGTCTCACTGTAGCCTCGACCTCCCTGGTTCAGACGATCCTCCCATCTCAACCTCCCAAGTAGCTAGGACTACAGGCGCACACCACAATGCCCAGCTAATCTTATATTTTTAGTAGAGATGGGGTTTTGCCACATTGCCCAGGGTGGTCTCAGACTCCTGGGCTCAAGGGATCCTCCTGCTTTGGCCTCTCAAAGTTCTGGATTGCAGGCATGAGCCACCACACCCAGCCAACTATATTGTTATAAACCATTTCGGGTGTGTGAAGAAGGACCAGGTTTTATTTTTGGTGAATTTCAATGTGTTTTGGTGAAATAGTAGTTGTACAAGTTGCCAGTGGAACTCTCTGGAGTCAGGGCTGCAGGCAGCAAGGGGCATGTTTCTTGCCAGTGGAGGTGGCAACACACCTTCTCTCTGCCCTCCTTGGGGAAGGACAGACCCTAGGGAGCCTGCTTCTCTCCACCCTGCAGAGATCCTCACCATGGAGAAGGAAGTGGCCGAGAGCCTTCTCAACGCAAAGGAGCAGGTGCACCAGGGTGGTGTGGATCTGCAGCAGCTGGAAGTCGGGCTTCAGGAGGCCAGGGAGGAGGACGACCAGCTGAAGGCCAGCCTCCTATATCCTTTTCTGCAAACGAGTCAGCCTTGGTGGAAAACATGCACTGGGGGAGGCACGGCGGCTCACGTCTGTCATTCCAGTACTTTGGGAGGCCAAGGCGGGTGGATCATGAGGTCAGGAGATAGAGACTATCTTGGCAAACAGTGAAACCCTGCCTCTACTAAAAATGCAAAAAATTAGCCAGGCATGGTGGCAGGTACCTGTAGTCCCAGCTACTCAGAAGGCTGAGACAGGAGAGTAACTTGAACCCAGGAGGCAGAGGTTGCAGTGAGCCGAGATGGCACCACTGCACTCCAGCCTGGGCAACAGAGCGAGACTTTGTCTGAAAGAAACCAAACAAAAAACATGAATGGGGCCAGGTTCAGTTGCTCACACCTGTAATCCCAGCATTTGGGAAGCCTTGGAGTTGACCAGTCTGGGAAACAGAGACGCTGTGTCTACAAAAGTAAAAAATTGGCAGGGTGTGGTGGTGCCTATAGTCTCAGCTATTTGAGAGGCCGAGGTGGGAGGATTGCTTGGTCCTGGAAGATCAAGGCTGTACTCCAGCCTGGGTGACAGAGCAAGACTCTGACTCAGAGAAGAAAGTGCGTAGATAGAGCCGAGGCCCCAGCCTCCTGGCTGCAGTGGACGCAGGGGCAGCTCCCTCTCAAAAGCTGGGGTCCTTAACTACCTGCCCTACGCAGCTCACCAGAGAGCTGGAGGAGCTCAAGGAGATCGAGGCGGATCTGGAACGACAGAAGAAGGAGGTCGACGAGGATACGACAGTCACAATCCCCTCAGCCGTGTAGGTTCCGCCTGTGCCCCCTTGTTCACTTGTTCAGTCCGGCTCTTGGTTGAAGTCAGTGCTGGGTAACTTTCTTTTTTTTCTTTTTTTTTTTTTTTTTGGCCTCTTGTATAGGTACGTGGCTCAACTTTACCACCAAATTAGTAAAATCGAGTGGGATTACGAATGTGAGCCAGGGATGATCAAAGGCAGTATCCTTTTTGGAAGACATTGTAACCCTTGTGCACTGTAGATAGGGAGGTAAAACGGTGCATAGCAAGACCCAGGCGTTGGGCTGGGTGCGGTGGTCACACCTGCAATCCCAGCACTTTGGGAGGCCGAGGTGAGCAGATCACAAGGTCAGGAGTTCAAGACCAGCCTGACCAACATGGTGAAACCCTGTCTCTACTGAAAATACAAAAATTAGCCAGGCGTGGTGGTGCACACCTGTAATCCCAGATACTCAGGAGGCTGAGACAGAAGAATCACTTGAACCCGAGAGGCAGAAGCTGCAGTGAGCTGAAATCTTGCCACTGCGCTCCAGTCTAGGCAACAGGGTGAGACTTTGTCTCCAAAAAAAAAAATTCACCGGGTGTGGTGGTGTGCACCTGTAGTCCCAGCTACCTGGGAGGCTGAGGTGGGAGGATCATTTGAGGCCAGGATTTTGAGACCAGCCTGGGTAGTACTGAGACCCTCGTGTCTACGATAAATATATAGTAAAGGCAGGCCAGGTGCTGTGGCTCACGCTTGCAATCCCAGCAGTTTGGGAGGCCAAGGCGGATGGATCACCTGAGGGTCAGGAGTTTAAGACTAGCCTGGCCAACATGGTGAAACCCTGTCTCTACTAAAAATGCAAAGATTAGCCAGGCGTGGTGGCATGTGCCTGTAGTCCCAGCCACTCGGGAAGCTGAGGCATGATAATCGCTTAACCCCAGGAGATGGAGACTGCAATGAGCTGAGATTGCACCACTGCACTCCAGCCTGGGCAACAGAATGACTTTGTCTAAAAAAAACCTGAGCACAGTGGCTCACTCCAATAATCCCAGCACATTCAGAGGCTGAAGCGGGCGGATCACCTGAGGTTGAGAGTTCAAGGCCAGTCTGACCAACATGGAAAGACCCCATCTCTACTAAAAATATAAAATTAGCCAGGCGTGGTGGCACATGCCAGTAATCCTGGCTACTCTGGGAGGCTGAGGCAGGAGAATCACTTCAACCTGGGAGGCCAAAGTTGCAGTGAGCCGAGATGACGCCATTACACTCCAGCCTGGGCAACAAGAAGGAAACTCTGTCTCAAAAATAAAAAGTAAAGGCAGTGTCCTTTTCCCCGTGGGGTTGTGTGAGGGGCTGTGTCCTGAGCTTTCCTTACATCTGTGCCTCAGTCCATCATGGCCCGAGTGTGGCCCAGCCCATCCACCTGGACAGCACCCAGCTCTCCAAGAAATTCATCAGTGACTACCTCTGGAGCCTGGTGGACACCAAGTGGTAGCCAGGAGCGTCTTGGCTGCGTCTTGCACCCAGCAAGCATCTGCCACCATCAGATCCATTTCAACTCCCACAGGTGTTAGAGACAGAGGAAGCAGGGTACCCGAGAGGAGCTGGGAGTTAAGCAAGGGACAGGGCTGTGACTGGCGGGACGTAATTGAAGGGACAGGAGCTCAGCCATGGCCATTTTTCCCTGTGACCTGTTGGCATGGTGGATACCACCAGTCTGCACTCAGGCTTTCCTTTGGGGACTCGGGCCCGTGGCTTACATAGGAACCCATCTCTGGCTCCAGGGTGGACCCTGTGTCAGAGACCACGAGATGAGTCTTTTGTCACTCGTTCTCCCCTCCCTCCTTCATAAAGGGAGTCCTTTTAGCTGCTCAGTTAAAACAGCACATCCCAGCACCCTTTAGTTAATGTCCAGCCAGTGAAATGTACATGGAACTGTTAAATGGCACTTCTAGAAGGATTTTTTTTTTTTTTTTGATTTGATGAGAGGGGGTTTCACCATTGTGGCCCAGCTGGTCTCGAACCCCTGACCTCAGGTAATCCACCCGTCTCAGCCTCCCAAAGTGCTGGGATTACAGGCGTGAGTCACCATGCCTGGCCTAGAAGGATTCTTAAAAGACAAGTACACCCTTGCTTCCCCCTTCCTATTTCCTGGAATTTGACCATGATGGCTAGAGCCCTGGCAGCCATACTGCCACATGTGCAGAGGAGTGCAGTCCTTTAGGGATGACGGGAGTCTGTTTCCCTGGTGACAGCAGAGCCAGATAATCAGCACAGACTTATTTAAATGGGAGAGGCCAGGTGCAGTGTCTCACGCCTGAATCCCAGCACTTTTGGAGGCTGAGGTGGGCACATCATGAAGGCAGGAGATTGGGACCATCCTGGCCAACATGGTGAGAGCCCATCTCTACCAAATTACAAAAATTAGCTGGGTGTGGTGGCACATGCCTATGATATCAGCTACATGGGAGGCTGAGGCAGGAGAATCGCTTGAACCAGGGAGGCAGAGCTTGCAGTAAGCTGAGATCACACCATGGCACTCCAGCCTGGTGACAGAGTAAGACTCTGTTTCAAAAAAAAAAAATAGGGGAGAAAAGGGGAAGAACCAACTTCAACTTCTACCTTGTGTAAGCTGCTGGTTTGGGGGTTTTCTATGACAACAAAATAAACCATAACTGAACACATACTCCAGTCCAGAGCTGGCCAATTGATGTGTTCACCGTTCCCCTCTCCTGGGTGCTTGGGGTACCGCTAAGGAGAGGAGGCTTGCACCCCACCTGCCTGAGAGAGGAGAGAGGGAGGTGGAGTCCCACTGACACAGTTGCCCCCACATACAGCTTTGCCCTTGGATGGGTTCATTCCATGACCTTGGGCTTGGGTTTCATCATGTCCCTTTCCACAACTAAATTTCGGTGCAGGTTTTTTTTTTTGAGACAGAGTCTTACTCCGTCACCAGGCGCCAGGCTGAAGCGCAGCGGCGCGATCTCAGCTCACTGCAACCTCCATCTCCCAGGTTCAAGCAATTCTGCCTCAGCCTCCCGAGTAGCTGGGACTACGGTGCGTGCCACCATGCCTAGCTAATTTTAGTAGAGACAGGGTTTTACCATGTTGGCTAGGATGGTCTCCATCTCTTGACCTTGTGATCCGCCTGCCTCGGCCTCCCAAAGTGCTGGGATTACAGTCATGAGCCACCGCCCCCAGCCTTTTTTTTTTTTTTTTTTGAGACTGAGTCTTGCTCTCTAGCCAGGCTGGAGTGCAGTGGCACAATCTCACTCGGCTCACTGCAACCTCTGCTTCCTGGATACAAGCGAGTCTCCTGCCTCAGCCTCCCGAGTAGCTGGGATTACAGGTGCACGCCACCTCGCCTGGCTAATTTTTGTTATTTTTAGTAGAGATGGTTTCATCATGTTGGCCAGGATGGTCTCAATCTCTTGATGTCATTATCCGCCCACCTTGGCCTCCCAAAGTGCTGGGCACGCCCCCACCCGGCTGCAGTTCATTTTTAATCAGAGATGGGCGTTTTTAGGCGGAAGGAACAGCTTTAACAGCATCTGCGTACGTCAGGCAGACACTGAAATGGTTCATTGAGGTGACCCTGGAAGGTCTTGGGTGACAATGCTGAACTGGTGGCCTCTAGGGAGATCAACGTAGAAAAGAGGGATCAGGGCCCGGTGTGTGGCTCACGTCTGTAATCCCAGCACTTTGGGAGGCCGAGGCGGGCAGATCACAAGGTCAAGAAATTGAGACCAGCCTGGCCAACATGGTGAAAGCTGTCTCTACTAAAAATACAAAAATTAGCTGGGTGTGGTGGCGCATGCCTGTAATCCCAACCACTCGGGAGGCTGAGGCAGGAGGGAGAGGTTGCAGTGAGCCGAGGTCATGCCACTGCACTCCATTCTGGGCCATAGAGTGAGACTCCGTCTCAAAGGAAAAACCTCTTGCGTGCCTGGAAGCCCCAGGCAGGGACCAGTCTGCAAGTCAGGTATCAGCGTTGGCTGAGCGCTGCTGTCACCGCCTTCGTCATTCCTTCCCACATACAGGACAGGAGATGCTACCACCAGCAGGTCCCCTCAGCCCACAGCTAGGAGTCCTGGGGTTGAGGGGATGGGAACATTTCCCTCTGGTCCTGCAAACTGCAGCTCTGAGTGCCCTGGAGAGAAAGCAGGCATGGGGGCAGGGGGGCCACTGTGGTGAGGATTCCGGGAGCTGGGGCTTATCCGTACCCCTGGCCCAGTGCCCACATGCCCTCTACCCTGGGGTTGGGGCTCCCTCCCACAGGAATGGCCTGGCTTTGTTCCCAGAGGGGGCCAAGGAGCCATTGCCCTGCTCTGTCACTCCCTATCCTCTCCATCCCAGCAGTCTGGACCTCAGTTTCCCCAAGGAAGAGATGGTCACATCATGGAGCCTGTGCTGGGGCTCAAAGGGGCCTTGCCCACCACCTTCATCCCCATCCCTGTCCCCCCGCCAGGCAGGCCCAGGGTCCCCACTATGGGTCAAGCGAGTTGGAGAGGAACTCGGCCTGGTGGGGACTCAGCAGGCGGGTTCCGGGAGGTGGCTGATCTCCGGGCCGGGAGAGGCCCCACTCCGCATGCCTGGTCCCTGACTCACTGCCGGCGCTGGCTGGATGCCCAGGACAGCCTGAGGCCCATGGCCTCCAGCCCCACCCCCGCTCCCCGTTTGTTCTCCCTCTGAGAGCTGCCCCTTTGGCCACCGGCTCTTTCTTGAATGATGGAGACAGGCTAGAGGCTTGCTGACGGCTCAGCCCAGCCCTGCTGAGGTGGGATAAAGTTCCAGTCCCCAGGACCATCCATTTTACAGATGGGGAAACTGAGGTACGCAGGATAAGGACCACCCTGAAGTCTGAACTTCAGCAGTGAAGCCCCCAAACCCTCCCTAGGTTAGGGTGGTCTTGCTCAGGACCAGGGGCAGTATGTGTATATCAGTAGTCATACTGGTATACTTCTCATTCTTCAATGAGAAGCAGCCCCTCCTGAGGAGTCTGCCCTGTGTCCGAAGCCACCCAGGTGGAAAGAGGCCAAGCAGGGTGGGTGCCCACACCTGCACCTGCTCGAGCCCCAGAGGGCGGTGATGAGGCAGCCCGAGGATCTAGCCACTGAGTCATTATTGGCAGGCCGTGTGTGGGTCACGAATTCACAACACGCTGGCCCTCTGCTGGTGTTTCTGGGGAAGGGAGCCCAGGGGCTGTGGAAGGAGTAGGCTCCTTAACTCGGGCCCTACTGCTCACTGGGCGGCTTCCCCTGAGGACTAGACTTGTGTATCTTCCTCAGGACTCCCCAAGCCCTGGCGGGGATAAAGTGCATGGAGGCCACCCAGAGGGGCAGGCAGCTGGGAGCAGCTTGGGATGGCTGAGCCTTTTTTTTTTTTTGTAACAGGGTCTCAGTCTACTGCCCAGGCTAGAGTGCAGTGGCGCCATCACAACTCACTGTAGCCTTGAATTCGTCCGCTCAGACAATCCTCCTGCCTCAGCCTCCCGAGTCACTGGGACCTAGCTTTTCATGGAACCCCCCTCTGACTGGCATTCAGTGCCCCTTCCCTGATAGTTCTGGACCAAGACATTTTCAGAGTTCTTCCCAGTTTACGGTTAAAAGAAACAGATTGCCTGGGCGCGGTGGCTCACACCTGTAATCCCAGTACTTTGGGAGACCGAGGCTGGTGGATCACAAGGTCAGAAGTTCGAGACCAGTCGGCCAACACAGTAAAACCCATCTCTATTAAAAACACAAAAATTAGCTGGGCATAGTGGCACGCACCTGTAATCCCAGCTACTGGGGAGGCTGAGGCAGGAGAATTGCTTGAACCTGGGAGGTTGAGGTTGCAGTGAGCCGAGATCACACCACTGCACTCCAGCCTGGCAACAGAGTGAGACTCTGTCTCAAAAATTTAAAAAAAAAAAAATCTATTTTCAGACCTTGTTAAAAAGACAGAACGTGATCGGGCTTGCCTGTGCATAGGAAGCAAGTTTCCAAGGCTGGATTTGAACCCAGTGTTGTTGGATCTGAAACCTGAGTCTCCCTTCTGGGCTGGACAGGATGGGAGAGGCAGGAAGACTGGTTTTGTGTCATTGGATGACAGTGCTAGGGTTCCCAGGGGACCCCCCTGAGGTCTGGGGCTGCAGCCTCCAGGCAACTCATCTAAGTATGTGGGCCACCCTGGTCTGCTCTCAGGGTGGCCCCATGATCTCTGGTGCCCCCCCCTTCTTTTAAGATGGAGTCTCTGTCGCCCAGGCTGGAGTGCAGTGGTGCAGTCTCACCTCACTGGAACCTCCACCTCCCAGGTTCAAGCGATTCTAATGCCTCAGCCTCCCAAGTAGCTGGGATTACAGGCGCCTGCCACCACCCCCGGCTAATTTTTATATTTTTTTAGTAGAGACAGGGTTTCACCATCTTGGCCAGGCTGGTCTGGAACTCCTGACCTCAGGTGATAGACCCACCTTAGCCTCCCAAAGTGCTGGGATGACAGGTGTGAGCCACTGTGCCCAACCAGCCTCCCATATTTACTCAGAAATGTGGACTGGGCCAGGCACTGTAGCCCATGCCTGTCATCCCAACACTTTGGGAGTCCAAGGCAGGAGGATTGCTTGAGCTGAGAAGTTCAATACCAGCCTGGATAACACGGTGAGACCTCTCTCTCTACAAAAAACTGAAAAATTAGCCAGGCATGGTGTATGCACCCGTCGTCCTGGCTACTTGGGAGGCTGAGGCGGGAGGATCGCTTCAGCCCTGGGAGGTTAAGGCTGCAGTGAGCTAGGATCGAACCACTGCACGCAAGCGTGGGTGACAAAGTGAGACCCTGTCTCAAAAAAAAAAGGAGATGGGGAAGGGAAGGGAAAAAGGGGAGGGAAGGGAAAAGGAAAGAAGGGGAGGAGAGGGGAGGGCAGGGGACGGGACGGTGGTGGGGGTGGGTATACAGAGGTCAGTGTGGTGGCTCATGCCTGTAATCCTAACACTTTGGGAGGCCATGGCCGATGGATCACTTGAGCTCAGGAGTTCGAGACCAACCCGGCCAATATGGTGAAACCCCATCTTTACTAAACATGCAAAGACTTGTCAGGCATGGCGGTGCGTGCCTGTAATCCCAGGCCCCCTGGAGGCTGAGGCAGGAGAATCGCTTGAACCCAGGAGACAGCTGTAAGCTGAGATCACACCACTGAACTCTTGCCTGGGCGACAAAGCAAGTCTGTGTCTCAAAAAAAAAAGTGGGGGGGGAGGAGACAGAGAACAAAAAGAAGGAGGGGAAGGAAGGGAGGGAGGGAGGGAGGGAGAGAAAAATGTGTGCTGTAAGCCTGACCCGACAGGCCCTCCTTCATAGAGTCACACCCCAGTAGAGGCCACCAGGAGGACAGGGCAGTGCT